TTACACATACATACACTGTACATACACATACGTACATACATATACACATACATTTACACATACATACACCACCACCCATGTAAATGGGTATGGTTTTCAGCAAGGCTTAAGTCATTATAATTACATAGTTATGCATTTTTGTTGCTGTGGTTTTGCTATCTTTGTTTTGTAGGTGTGGAGCCGAGAAGTCCGGTGTGCTGTCTTGTGTATTCTCAACATATAATTTACATATCTTCTAATCTCTTTTTCACTCTTTCTCATTACATTTCACTTTTTTCTTTCTTCTTCTTTTTCTTCTATTAATAATAAAAAAACATAAACTATGTGATCATAAATCTGTCAGTTTCCCTTTAATTTATAGTGTAAAATAATTTTAATGTTCAGTTTTGGGGTATTTTTGATTTAACGTTAAAATATTATTTGGCATTGAATGATTTAAAAATAACTATGGAAAAAAATAACAGTCTGCAAGTGTAGGTATTGTTCTCTAAATAAATGTTACTGAAATAATACTTTGCACTGTATATAATAAACAAAATTTCTGTACGTCTCCTGGGGGCTAAGCCCCCCTTGTCCTTAAAACTTAGTGACACCCCTGGTGCACACTGAGCTCAGAGGAGCAGAGGAGGACCACTCAGTGAGCTCGAAACTGGAGTTGAAATAAACTGATTCAAACACAGTCAGGGCAACTGACAACACAAAGTTGAAACCAGTAAAGCACCAGTGTTTACTGGGATGAAGCTGAGAAGCTGAATGCAGGACAGACTTTTAGCTGCAGGTTCCTTTCATCGTCTTTTCAAAGTAAAAACACAACATGGTGCAGACGAGCGTACCTTTCTGAGCTGGTGGAGCCCTGATGCAGTGCTCTCAGTGTGGCTTCTCATTTTGTGAAACCTGATCCTGCAGGAGACAGCATCCACTTGCATGGCCCAAGTCTTTTCCTTCAACCAAAGTGCTCTCCTCCCCCCACCCTCCTCTTCCTCAGTCTGTACGCCCCCCCTGCCCTGAGACTGCTCTCCCTTCACATAGCTCTCAAATATGTCCAAACCCTGAGAGGGCGAAAAGCTGCGAAGACGAACGGAGTCAGGAATCCTTTCTGTCCACCGTGCAGCCTGGAGCTGACAACTGTTTCCTCGCCCTCAAACCCTCTGCTCTCTCTCTTCTTTCAGTTCTTTCTCTCTCTCCCCTCCTCTCAAACTTTTCCCACCCCTCCTTTCCTCAAACCACCCCCTGTCTTCCCCTTCAGCCCTTCCTCCTTCCTCACACACACACACACACACACACACACACACACACACACACACACGCAGTACATCCTGCACAGCGGGAGGGGAGGAGGGAAAGAAAAGGCAGAAACACAGGGGGGCAGCTGCAGCCCTAACGGACCGAACTTCAGTCAAACAAGAGCCAACACTTTTATTTCTTTTTTCGTGCCCCCTCTCTGTGGAACTATCTTCCTCAGGACATCAGGCAGGCTTGTTCTGTAGAGGTTTTTAAAGCGAAGTTAAAGACGCACCTGTTCAAACTATCTTACTTATCTTAATTTTATCTTTTGTTTTGATCTGTTTTGTGATTTTATCTCTTGCTTTCTGTGTTTTTATCTTGTTTTCTGTGATTTTATCCTTGTTTTGTGAATTCACCTCGTTATTTGTGATTTTATCTCTTGCTTTCTGTGTTTTTATCTT